TCCATCCATGTTGCTACACATGGCCAGATTTCATTCTTTCTCATTGCCATGTAGTATTCCATGGTATAGATAAACCACATCTTCTTGATCCATTCATCCGTTGATGGGCACTTAGGCTCTTTCCATGTTTTAGCTATTGTGGAGAGTGCTGCTATGAACATTGGGGTCCATGTGCTCCTATGCCTCAGCATTTCTGTATCCCTTGGGTAAATTCCTAGCATGCACTAATTTTTATTCAGGTAGTTTGTATAAGAATAAGTTAGTCATACTTAAAGGAAATTCTTTCGGAAAAAAAAAGTGTTTATAAACACCATGCGTTTAACATAACATTCTATGCTGACAAAAACTGAGGACTGATGGATGTGGGGGGAGGGGGGGATGGGCATGGAGGAGGGCACTTGTGGGGATGAGCACTGAGTGTTATGTGGAAACTAATTTGACAATAAACTATTTGTAAAAAAAAAAAAAAAAAACATAACATTCTAATTACACACATATGTTTTTGTTTTGGCAGGTATATTTTGGAACGTCTCATCCAAGGTCCTATATCTCTGCCAATGTAACTGGCTTCAAATGTGTGACTGGAATGTCTTGTTTAATGAGAAAGGATGTGTTAGATCAAGCAGGAGGGCTTATAGCTTTTGCTCAATACATTGCTGAAGATTACTTTATGGCCAAAGCCATAGCTGACCGGTAAGCAAACTAAATTACATTAGGCTATAGTATTTTTAGTACCTGACTTCTGTTGGCTTATTGTATTTCTTACAGTCTTGGATTGAGTGGCTATATTATTTTAGTTTTTGCTAGGGATTACAGAATAGGTTAGTATTTTTAAGAAAGTAATTCATATTTTTCATAGATATTGTTATAAAGAAATAAATGAATAAATGACAGTTGTGTTCTTTAATGTGATTTGACATAATGAAAAGGAAACTTCTCTGTGATTATAAATTTTCATTATTATGGATGTAAATTTCTGTGTGTTTTAGAAATAAAAAGTACAGTCATAGCTAGCAGCTGATTTAAACTTAAAGAATATGATTCCCCATTTTGGGATTTCTCAGTAGATTATTTCATGCTCTGCTAAAAAGCCACTTAACAATTCATATGAATGGCTTAACATTTTCTCTATCATAAAATTACTTGTCTGCTTTTAAAGGGGTTCATTGCCTTGTGTGATAATTTACTAAAGGTAGGATTTTAAAAATTGAGGTATTTTTGAAAATTCTTTCATGATGCTTTGCATGTGGCTCATAGTTTCATAATGCTTCCACTGATATATATAATAATATTAAATAATAATAAATAAATATTTAATGCCACCTTTAGTTTGCATTTCTTGCTGAATCTCCACACACATATCACACATATCCCCAGCACCCCCGAACCACCTGCCATTTGAGTTGGCGGTTTTTTGGTTTTGGTCTTGGTTAGTAGTTGATCAGAAACTGAGCTATTAACTACAAACCCACTCCACTTGGTACTTTCAGAATATCTGTATCTTAAGTTTCTTAAACTATAGACTGGGAAGTTGTAGCTCCTTGCAGCTCAGGTACTGTCATAGGCCTGTGTATTTGCCAAAGCATCCAGGGGTACGATACACCGAGGTAGGGTGCTGATCCTGAGAACTGAGCTCACCCTGAACACCAGCAGTTGCTTACTCCTTATAGTGATGAGTAAATGCATAACCAGTCATGCCTGAGGTGTTCATCATCACCGTTCATTTTATAATTGTCTTAATTTTCAGAGGTTGGAGGTTTGCGATGTCCACTCAGGTTGCAATGCAGAACTCTGGCTCTTATTCAATTTCCCAGTTCCAATCCAGAATGATCAGGTGAATTGGTTGGTTTTCTTCTTTGTATACATGGTTAAAAGAAAAAGGAGGGAGGGAGTAATTTTTACATGGTCTAACTTGATATTTAAAATATCTAAAAGTTAATTTTTTGTTTAGTTCCAGAAAAGAGAGGTTAGCGTCTTTGTTAAAATAAATTTAATGTCTAAATATATTTTCTTTGCCGCGCAATCCTGAATGCATCCAATAAAGAGATGTTGAGACTTTGATATCTTTAATGTGCTGACCTCTATTTTCTAACTTTCTACACTTTGAATTTTATAATCTTTATTCATTAGAGTGTAGGCCATACAAATGAGTGTATAGACTTTTTAATGCACTAAATAAAAATAGAAAAGAGATTCATTAAATACTCTTTAAAGACAAGGGCCTTTATGTAACAGGCTAAGAGCTGATCAGTTGTGGGGGTGTGGGGGTACTGATTAGTCTTGTAACCAGGCTGTTTTAAAGAAAACCTTTTTTTTTTTTTTTAGATGGACCAAATTGCGAATTAACATGCTTCCCGCTACAATAATTTGTGAGCCAATTTCAGAGTGCTTTGTTGCCAGTTTAATTATTGGATGGGCAGCCCACCATGTATTCAGATGGGATATTATGGTGTTTTTCATGTGTCATTGCCTGGCATGGTTTATATTTGACTACATTCAACTCAGGGGTGTCCAGGTATGTGGCTAGGCATGGAAAGGTTGGCAGTCATTTGGTGGAACTAAAACTGGTTTAATTTAGAAAAGCTTGAAGAATTTATCCAACCCATTCTTTTTTCAGCTTCCCATTGAAGGTTAACATCCAGTTTAAACATTACCTGCCTTAGTGGAATGTGGACACAGAACTTAACTTGATTTTCAACTTTCAGCTGATAGTTACACTATCACTTTTATTAAGGCTCCAAAAAGACAGACGTTAAGCAATTCGGTTATCTGAAGAAGCAGGCTTGATTTTATATAGTACATTTTAAAAGAGTAAAATTGAAGAATTTCATTTTTTAACTCTGTATAGTTTGACAGTAAATTAAAAAAAAATTTTTTTTTAATTCCTAGGGTGGCACACTGTGTTTTTCAAAACTTGATTATGCAGTAGCCTGGTTCATCCGTGAATCCATGACAATATACATTTTTTTGTCGGCATTATGGGACCCTACTATTAGCTGGAGAACTGGCCGCTACAGATTACGCTGTGGAGGCACGGCGGAGGAGATCCTAGATGTATAACTACAGCTTTGTGACTGTACATAAAGGAAAAAAGAGAAGTATTATAAATTATGTTTATATAAATGCTTTTAAAGATCTACCTTCAGTAGTTTCGTCCCATGTATGTTTGATATCTGTTCTTTAATTTATTTTGCATGGCACTTGCATCTGTGAAAAAAAAAAAAAAAACACATCTGTAGTCTTGGCCAAATGGTACCCTTTGTTTTGTGGAAGTAGAGAATCAAGAGAATTGGTTCTAGGAACCTGGCTTTGGTTTTTGTTGTTGTTTGTTTGTTTTTTAAAAAGAAATAAATATATATATATAAAATATATGAATGCTCTGCAGCAAACACTATGACAGTATCCTTCAGTAGAGAAAGTTTCTTATTTGTGAGTACACTCTTTTAGAACATTTATGGGAGGGCAGCAACTTTGCTTTGAGGTTTAGAAAAGACTAGAAAGTAATCACTTTCTGGATCTAAAGTGAATGGCGTCTCGAGGTGAACAACGCACGGTGAGGTACTAACTAAGAAACTTTTTCATGCTTTATGCCTACCTCTTGTAGTTGTTGCAGAGCAAATGTAAATTGTAATAAGGTAGCTAGGCCTTGCAAAAAACAAATGGAAAAACTTTAAAAATAATAATAAAAGAGCTGGAGTCTAGTATTTATGTGAATCTGTGAGAGAGATTTTTTCTTTTTTTTTTCTTTTCTTTCTTTTTTTTTTGGCCTCACTGCAATGAACCAAAAGTGGTTGAGTTTGGTTTTTAATTGTAGCCACGTATTGAAGGCATCCTTTTGACCAACTCCTGCTGGTTCTGCCTAGAACCATCGTTAGTCACTGTACTGGTAAACCCTTCCTTCCCTGCTCCGCACCTGCCCAAGCCCCCGTCTTTCCTTAACTGTTTTTTCTGGGGGGGTGGGGGTGGGGGGGCTTTGTTTTAGTGTGAGTGGATGTTTTGATAGTTGTGAGGAAAAATGCATTTCAGACACATTTCACACATGAGCTATTTTCTTACACAGTATGTCTTGTTAAAAAGAATGTAATTTCACAATACATGTATTTAATATCTTTTTTAAGTAAGTAAATATTCTAGCCATCAGATAAATTGCAGTTAGAGTATTAAGTGGGGACAGGACGAGTTTTACTCTTAAAATCAATCAGTATCAATCTAAGTCTACTGTGTGTGTGTGTGTGTGTGTGTGTGTGTGTGTGTGTGTGTGTGTGTGTTTTAACTCTTACAGTTAGTCTAGTCTTATTTAAATTGGATTTTTGTATTCCAGTTTGTATGCCGGAATAGACTAGATCAGTGCTAGTTGTAGATGCATGCTGTGTGTCACCCTTCTCTCCCCATCATGCCGCTGAACTTGTTCATCAGGTTGTGCTTAACTTGTGGTGAACTGGACTTGTTTTTGTTTTAAAAAAAATAGGCAAAAAATGTAAGGGACAGTGCATCAGCCTTTCTGTTTTCCCCCTTTGGTAGTGGGATTTGTGCTTTTCCTCCAGGACTAGATGGCATGTTGTGCATATGAACGCCTGCTGCGGGCTGATGCCGGCAACGTGGCCGCTTTAAATTCCAAGTCACTGCAGTTTCCATGTCAAAGCATAATGTGTAGCATATCAGCAATAATTACATATTTCTAGAAAATGAACACGTTTTCACCTCACTGAGCCAATTCATTTAATTGTCTAATGACTAATATAAATTGTTTAAATTGTAATATATGTAATACATCATAATGGAATGTAGTATACTCTATGTATACACATTATGTCTAAGCTTCTCTCTGGGCCAAACTGCTTCATTTAAAAAATATATATATATATCTTGGCGCCTTATGACGAATTTGTTTGAAGGGCATTTTCTTCGCGAACAAAGGCTTTGATGCATATTCCTTCCTATGTGAAATGGGCAGTAGTGTTCCCTGAGGAAAGTTGCACAGTGAAAATCAGTCTAGTTGTGACCCACTCTGTGTTGTTGTTTTTTTTTTAAATCTCTATTACACAAGTTGAATTTTGCTGAACATGTTTGTAATTTGTCGGTTTGTTTAATGAAGTTTGGTTGATGCCATTTTTTGCACTGCTGAAGTGAAATCTCGCTTATTACTTAGCTGTTTGCTGATCTCAGTATGGGCAATGTAACAACAAATCCAAATGGCTGGACAGACTTCTTGTGTTTTGTAAATAGAAACAATGACTGTTCTGTATGTGTGTTTTATGTGGTAGTGGAGTATTTCCTTGAAGTGAAGCTTCACTTAAGCAGGACAGAGTGATTCTTTGTTTAGCAAGTTTAGAGTGATGGTAAAATTGTAAGAAATAATATAAATGTTGAAGAAAGCACCACAACAGAACTGTAGGAGTCCAAATTTAATAGACCATTAAAAAAAAAAGTGTCTAGAATACACCACGTTTTATTATTTAAAATCATTGTATGAAGTTTTTGTTTAAAATAAAAATTTGAATACAATCAAAACATTAACAATAACGTATTTTGTTTGCTGTCTTATTTTATATTTTTATAAATAACATGTTCCACCATTCACAAAAGCGTTCTATCACGTGTTAATTTGAAATCTTCCTTTTCACCTGTGCTGCAAAGTCAGGCTTACGGCTTAATGTTGGGCTTTTCTACATTGGTTCCACGTTGTAACCACCTGGAGAGAACTTTAGAAAAACAAAATACAGATGCCTGGGCCCCTGCCCACAGCGACTCCGGCCTGATGAGTGTGCAGTGAGGCCTGAGCTCTGCATGTTTGTTTGTGCAGGCAGAGTTGAGAAGCGCTGGCCCATAATCGCCCGTAGAAGAGACCCATTTGCCCCTCGCCCCCCTCGCCTAGGCTCACAGCCTGGTACCACGCCAGTGGCGGGAAAGGCCGAACCAAGGAGAAGAAATGGCTCTGCTGCTAGAGGCCTCCATGGGAGCTAGACTAGGCCCTCCCACAGGCTCTGCAGCGCCAGGCTCCTCCCAAGCCGGAGGTACTTCCCTTCCCGGCCCATTCCACCCTCACCCTGTGAGGGAAGAATACATCTAACTGGAGAGCACCTCCCAGGGGAGGAAGAGTCGAGAAGGGAATTTGCGGGGACGAAAATGTTTTGCCATTAAATAGCGGTGATGGTTGCACAACCTTGTGAATATACAAAAAACACTGAATTGTCCACTCTTAGATGTGAATTTTTTGGTCTGGTCAATTATGTTGGAATTTTTTTTAATAAATGAAAAAAAATGAAAACCACTGTAAATGTATTCTTTCTTTCCAGTCTCCTGACACCGTTTGCTGAAATGGCTTCGGGAGAGTGCGTAGGACTGCCTTTTATTTGGCATCCCTGCTCGGACTAAGAATTGGCCATTTTCAAAATCTTTCTAAATTTGACGGATGAGAATATTGTACCTCATTGTTTAAACATAGGGATTTTGTTTTCTTTTTAAGGGAGGGGGGGTGCAAGTGAGCGAGGGGTGGGGGGAGAGAGAGAGGGAACTGAGCTCACCCAAAGCGGGGCTTGAGATCACCTGATGTGGGACTCGAACTGACGAACTGTAAGGTCATGACCTAAGCTGAAGTCAGATGCTTAGTGACTGAGCCACCCAGGGGCCCTAAACATACGTCACTTTTTATGACTGGCAAGATTGAGTATTGTTGCCTATATGATTTATAACCACTGGAATGTCTTCCATTACTTGACCTTATTTAAATGAGGATCTTGATGCTTTTTTATTGTATATTCCACATCTCTTTTCTTTTTAGCCATAAAAAACAATTTACCAGACAAAAGACTGCTAAAATCTTTTCATTTAGGATAATGTCCGCTCAAAGGCAAGATGGGATGGGCATGGAAATAGTTGATGAACATTTGCATAACTAGGCGGCCCACACAAGTGTCCTGATCAAAGATCAGTCTTCCCAAATGTGATTTCCCTGCCTGTCTTAGAACACACTGTTTTCAGCTTTGAAGTAACAGTATTCTCACAGTTTATATGTATTCACAGTTCTGACATGAAGCTTATGTGGCATTTGGGTACTATTTTTTTCAATAGATTTCTGAACTTCTTTATTGTCTAGTATTTAATGACATCTTTTCTGGGCTTTAGAGTGAGGTTCCTCTAACAGTACAAAGTCAGTTGGGCTTTCCCTCCCCCCCGACCCATGCTTCAGAAATTATTTAGTCAGGAATTATGTGTTCCTTGAAAGTTTGAAAGAATTTATCCGTAAGACTTTATGGACTTGGCACTTCAAAGACCTTTTCAGTTTGTTTCATTGGTAATAATCAGTTCCCGTTTTCAACTTCTAAAGTCAGTTTTAGTCATTTATACCGTAGAGATGCATATGGCATTTTCATAATTCTCTTCAAACTCTCGCTAGCTATGTATGCTGCTGGGCAGGAGGTCTGCGGCCCCCATGCAGGTCGAACTTGGACCTCTGATCTGAGAGAAGAGTTGGCTGGCAAGGCCGCCCACCCCCCCACCCCCCGCCCCCGAGTCCACCAATATCCTCTTTCTACAGAGAAACCTTGCCCCCGTGACAACTCCTCTTGAAACACTTTAATGGCTTGATATTACCTTCAGGATAAAGCCCAAGCTTTACTCATGGCAGAAAGGCCGTTTTACGGGGCGCCTGGGTGGCTCAGTCAGTTAAGCTTCCGACTTCAGCTTAGGTCATGATCTCATAGTTTGTGGGTTCAAGCCCCGCGTCGGGCTCTGTGCTGACAGCTCAGAGCCTGGAGCCTCCTTCAGATTCTGTGTCTCCCTCTCACTCTGCCCCTCCCCTGCTGATTTTCTCTCTCTCTCTCTCAAAAATAAATAAAAACATTTTTCTAAAAAAGGCCATTTTAGGTTACATCCTCGCCAACACCTCCAGGTCCCCCTCTTACCATTTTGCCAAACCCACTCACATAAACTCTGATTGTAAACTTCCTGCAGTTTCCCTGAGTCTGCCCTTTCCTGCTCTGGGCTTTGTGCCTGTTGCCGTCTCAAACTCCAGTCCCGCTGACCTCCGCTCCGCTCCGCTCTTGGGACTCTGCTCGGGGTGCCAGCTCTCCCATGACTTATCTTCTCGGGTTATATACACCGTGTCTGTGCCTCCCCAGCCTCACCCTGCACTTCGGTCCTGGCTCTTAATACCAGTTCATGTCATTGCTCCTGTTGTTGTTCGTGGTCATCATTAAATCGGAAATATCAGTCTCTTACTTGACTTTGTGTTCCAAGCTCCTAGCTTGGACCTGACACAAAGTCCATTTTATTGGATGAATTAATGAACAAATAAAGATAAGCCCTCCTGCGGCACTAACCTTACGCCTACGGCCAGTGACTGTGGAGCCAGACTGGTTGGGCCCACTTTCCAGCGACACCATATGCTTCCTGTACACACTCTCTGTGCCTCAGTGGATACCAATGTGATCTTCTCAGGGTCGACGTGAGAATTAAAGGAAATCCTGCATCTGAAAAGCCACATTCTCAGTAAAAGCTTGTGTTCCGATAAGGATCGCCAGTCACTAAGTGAAAATGAAAGCTTAGTTCCACAGTGGGACAAAGTAGCTCTTCTTCCTCCAAGGCTTGAGGAAAAGAATCGTTCACAATCTGATGGAGAAGAGTTGCTTGATCTTTTGTAGGGCAACTGACCCCTCCGCCCTTGGTGGTTCACAGTAAATATTCTAGCGTTCAAGATGAAAATCAATCCGATTTGTTTAAACTATCATAAATAGTGCTATTGTGGCCCATAGAACGCTGGCCAGAATGTTAGAGCCGATGGCCTGAGCTGCAAGGCCTGGCAGAAAATGGCAAGACCTCACCGCACGGCCTGCATTCCCACAAGAACAGTCCGCAGAATCTGAAGGCTGAGAACGTGGTGTTCACAGCAGGGAGTTGCAACACACAGGGTGGCGTGAGGTGCACCCGTGACATGGGCAACATTCAAGGAGTTTTACCTGGCTGGAATGTTTCCAGCTCTTCTTCTTTTAAAGGACAACGGATTCTATATAACTCAAAGACAATCTCCTGGGTGTTCTCTGACTCTCCGCATTGAGAGCAGTGAGTGTGGAGGCTGAGATCTCTAGACCTGCCATCTGAAGGGGACTTTTCTTGCACATGCATGGTCTGGCAGCTTCCGTGGTTCCTAAACTGTTGGATAAGAATTATTTAAAAAAAAATTTTTTTTTTAAATTTTTTTGAGAAAGAGTGCAAGCAGGGGAGGGGCAGACAGAGAGGGAGGCACAATCGTTAGCAGGCTGCAGGCTCCGAGCTGTCAGCACAAGCCCTGTGTGGGGCTCGAACTCAGGAACCATGAGACCATGACCTGAGCCAGAGTCGGCTGCTTAACCAACAGAGCCGCCTGGGTGCCCCAGCTAAGAATTATTTTAAATGTCAACTGCAGTGCCCCACGCCCCTGTTACAAGGCCCCAAACTCTAAACCTTTATAAGCTTTCCTGAGAGTCTGATGCAGGCACTTTCCAGGACACTGTGAGAAACATTTCCCCGGAGCTGTGTCACTATGGGAACGCATTTTACACAAGTGGACAGTGGAGTGAAGGTGGTGGCCCTTGGACAGGAGGGCTGAGGCTCAGCCCCTAGGATATAATTTTTTTGATCTCTAAGTGAAGTGGCTGCAATATTGTGATTTATAGTAAGAACTATATATATATATATATATATATATATATATATTTTAATGTTTACTTTGAGAGAGCATGAGTGGGGAAGGGGCAGAGAGAGAGGGAGATAGAGAATCCCGAGCAGGCTCCATGCTGCAAGTGCAGAGCCCAAAGTGGGGTTCAATCCCACAAAGCATGAGATCATGACCTGAGCCTAAAACAAGAACCAGATATTCAACCGACTGAGCCACCCAGGCGCCCCTGTAATAAGAAACATATATTTCATCTCAAGCCCCTTTTCTGGCACAGACCTCCTAAAACCCTTATAATTTCCTTTGTGAGGAGAGGTCTTTTGTTATGTTCATGAGGTGACTGTTGGACCGCACCTAGAGTTGGGGTTGGTTGCCAGGAG